AGGGTTTCTCTGTGTAGCTTTGCGCCTTTCCTGGAACTCACTTGGTAGCCCAGGCTGGTCTTGAACTCACAGAGATCCGCCTGGCTCTGCCTCCCGAGTGCTGGGATTAAAGGCGTGTGCCACCACTGCCCAGCTTCAATACACAATTTGAGAAAGTTTGGGTTCTATTCCAACCTAAGATAAGTATCCATGAGAAATGACTTAACATCTTGACAGCAATTCTAGAGGTTAACATCTGATGTTATTATTTTGAGAAACAATTGGCCCGGTTTCATGTAAAAGTTTCACACGGTTCATAAAACAACCTTTCGCCTGGGTCTCTGGCCTCCAGGCTTTCAAATGTATGCAGTCTGGTAATATTTCCACCGCAGAGGCCTGTTGGCTAGGGTGATGTTGCTGTTTTCTAGACTTCTCAGCAATGCAGCGCTTCTAGGAAGTCACAGCCCATCTCACTGATCAGCGACTCTGGCTTGGTTCATCCTCCAAAATTTAATAATTCATCCAGGAGGTGCACAGCAAAACAGATCTTAAGAAAAGTGTAGATTCTTGGAAGAGTTCCTTCCCCGAAGCTGGTTTGGGTTGAGTATCTCGTCAATGCAGACTCTGAACAGATTTCTACCCTCTATCTCACTACTGAGTCCCTTGAAATCTGCCGCAGCCACTTTTACCTTCCTTTTCTTTCTGTAGACCTACCTGTTGTATTTAACAGTGGTGGGAAAGTCACAGCATACAACAGAACTCCTGTGGGAGGTTTATTGGGGGAAGGGAAGGAAGGGGTACAGACACCAGCCTCTGGAGGAGAAGGTGAAAAAGAGTGGGAAACGGGAGGAGCTTGCCTTTTATAAGGGGATTTAGTGTACGCACACAGGAGTGGCTGTGGATGATGATGTATTCAGTCAGGACCCTGAGCAGGCCAGCGTAAATGCCTGAGTACGAATACATGCATGTGTGCAGACAGGGAGAGCTCTTAGCGGTTGCAGCTGAGGACCTTGAGGGCAGGCCAGTGTAATGCCTGAATGCTAATGCTACCCTGACCCTTAACTGTTGATTCCTGAACTTTGACTCACTCACTGATCTCATGACCTTATCCATGACCCATAACCCCAATCCCAAACCATAACACCAGCTCCTAACTCCTAACTCTAATCATAACTCATAGCAAGTAGTGGGCAAACAGTGCAGACTAAAGTCATTTGGAGATGATGTGAATGAGAAAGAGCCCTTATAAGGAGAAGTGAGAGCCTGCTTACCCATTCTGCCACAAGGACACAGCTAGAAGGCACCACCCAATCAGAGTTTGCCCTCACCAGACACCAGGCCTACCTGAAGCTTGACCTGAGATTTTCCTGACTCTAATTGCACTTTTATTTTGGGGGATAATCAATGGCTATCTCATTAGACGTAAGGCTTGCTCAAAAGAGCATAATTCATGCCTGATGCTATAAATATAACCAACTACCAGCAGCTGGAGAGGTCACAGACCAAGGGAAAATCCACTACTGCCATATTTTCTAAACTAGTATAGTTTCTAACTATATTCTTAACACTTATATTTATACACACAGATAACTGTAGCTCTTACCTATCATCAAAGAAACATCCTTTTGCAACAGATGGAGACTTTTACAGAGGTCCACAACTGGTCAAAATACAGATAACAAGTGTCCATGGGGTGCCTGACACCGGCTGATACATCTGCAATGCAATCTCTACACTAAGGCTCGGGGACCATTACAGAGGCGGAAAGACTGTAAGAGCCAGAGGTTCAGGGTGCTAGACAGTGTACCCTAGGCACGGCAGGAAAAAATGAACATATGAACTCTCAGCAATGTGTTTGCCTGAATAAGATAAATATGATCTCAATATCAGTGGGATGGGGTCAATCCCACAAAGACCTACACCTAGATGAACTACAAGTAGTCAATGATGGCTGAAAGTGGGAGAAACATTTTTTCCCCAGGGATGAGCTCCCACATAGATTGCCCAATCCCAGTGGTCAGCCCAGAGAACATGTATGTATGGGCAACAATAAATGGACTCAGTAGGTTGTTTGTTTGTGTGTGTGTGTGTGTGTGTGTGTATGCATGTGTGTGTTTGTGTGTGTAAGACACATCAGAACAATAATTGTGTTGACTCTAGTTTTCAGAAGGATGAGTAGTCTCTAGTGTCTCTTTTTGTTTACTATATTGTCTAATTTTTCAATAGTGAGCAACATTAATTATAACCTAAAGAGTTTATGAGTGGAATTCAACCTTTCATATACTTGCCAGTAAAAACAAATAAATAAGACCTGATGTTGGGAGGAGTTGTGATTTTGGGTCTTTGGGGAGTTGGTGGGTAAGAGGTGGATATGAAAAAGACACACTGTATACTTGTACTTTTAAGGAATAAATTAAAAATTAAAATAAAAACAAGAATTTTCATTTTCCAAAATTGTTTCTAAACTCAGGTACTTAAAAGTTTGGGCAGAATCTTTAGGGAGCAGTGGCTTGGGTTTCCCCACTGCTTGGCTGAAGAAAGTCTTCATCTCTGTAGAGTGGAAATGAAGTGAAAAGCTTGGAAGAAAGCAGGTTGGGCATACAGGAGGAAGGGTAAACTGGACAGGGGAAAGGAACCGTATGCTACCGAAGGCTGCTTGAATTAACACAGCCTTTCAGAGCAACACACACAGAAAGGACCAGTAGTACTGAGAAGGTGGAGGCAGCTTCCGGGGGAACGGACAGCAGTGGGTTCTAATGCATGCTGGAGGAACCTGCGTCCAGATAGGGGCAGGTGACAGACCTTCACGTAGAGAGAGTCCAGGGTGGCATGCTGACACTAACGACCTATTGGCAAAGAGCAACAGGAGCAGAAATGATGAGGTCACCACCCAGTAGCAGCCTCAGCCGTTGAGTGTCCAGAAAGATCGCCTATGAATATAACTTAGGATCTGTTACATATGTATGGGCAGAAAAGCGAGGAGACCTGAGTTTCTGGGCCTTTCTTAATTTTGCAGATACTCTCTGCAGTTAAATAATTCAAAGACACCAGAAGAGGATGCAAAATATGGAGACTGGAAAGGGAACCAAGAGACAGAAATCATATCAGGAAGATGAGTCAGGGCATGGAAAGTTTCCCAATTTGTCCTGGAACTAGACATGGAAGTTCACAGTGGGATGTTTGAGACCAACTTTAACACAAATCTTAAATGGTCTTAGTAATAAAAAACCTGGAGCCAGATATTGGGGTGAAGGCTGAAAGATCAAAGAAACAGAACAAGCCACAGCCAACCTCACTTCACCAACTCTTCAGCTGATCATGCTTCAGCTGATCTTATTTCCCCAGACTGAAAGCCTCTGAGAAGTCACCCAAAAGTGTCTCCACTGAACTGCTGCTAAAAGGCCTAAAAGCTTAAAAGCCCTAGTTCCTGGTCCTCACACCTTATATACCTTTCTGTGTCCTGCTATCACTTCCTGGGATTAAAGGCGTGTGTCACCATGCCTGGTTGTTTCCAGTGTGGCCTTGAACTCACAGAGATCTAGTTGGACCTCTGCCTCCCTGAGTGATAGGAATAAAGGTGTATGTGCCACCATTTTCTGGCCTCTGTGTCTAATCTAGTGGCTGTTCTGTTCTCTGACCCCAGATAGGTTTTATTAGGGTACACAATATATTGGGGAACACAATGTATCACCACACCAACTCCTCCTTGTCCTGTTGGCTTTGCTGTATCCTCTGTTTCCCTTGCCCTTCACTGTCCCCTGTCACAGTACCTGTCCCATTGTGTTCATTTCCTGTGTCTGTTTTACTTCATATTAGACCAGTATCCCCAGCCCTGCCCAGTGGACTGGCAGATAACCAAGTGGATTCTGTATACAGATTCTGATGCACACATAACGAGGGCTGAAAGGCCTCCTAGCTAGAGGACTGGGTTGAAAACTAGTGATTACCTCTCTTCCCTCAGATTAAGAATGCCAGGCCTGGTGGCACACACCTTCAATCCCAACACTCCTTAGGGTTAGGGTTAGGGTTAGGGTTAGGGTTAGGGTTAGGGTTAGGGTTAAGGTTAGGATTAGGGTTAGGGTTAGGGTTAGGGTTAGGGTTAGGGTTAGGGTTAGGGTTAGGGTTAGGGAGGCAGGTAGGCGGATCCCTGAGTTCAAAGCCAGCCTGGTCTACAGCACTAGTTCCAGGACAGCCAGGGCTACACAGGGAAACAGAAATGGTTACATAAATGTTCTTGTTCATATCTTCTGGGTTAGAGAGATTAGACAGAGAGCCAAGTGATTTTGGTAACTTCCAGGAGATCTCTCCCAATCTGAAAGCGATGAGCTGACATGTTGGTGCTGGAGCGAATGAACTCTGCATGTCTGGCTCCGGGGTTGTTATTCAGCCCACAGCCAGAAGGCATGAAGGATTCCATGGTGTTTGTGTAACCAGCAGACAGTACCATGGCAAAACCTGACAAATCAAACATTGTCTCGGAGAGTGCCAGAAGCTGACCCACCCCAAAGCTGTGTCTAAGTAGACAAGAGAGCAAGCACCCCATCTTTATCGCTACAAGGCCTGTAAGGAGTTCAAGCCTCCAGGGTACCTACCTGGTAGGAGTGACTGTGCTGGTGAACAAGCACTCCACCATTGAATTGGCCACATATCTCTGCCAGAATATCACACTCAGTTGGGTTTGTCAGCTCAGCAGAATAAAGCTTTGTGAATCACCACCCCCTAGTACCCCCACCACACACACACACACACACACACACACACACACACACACACACACACACACACACACGAGAGTTTGATCCATGGCTAGTGTGATCCTTGGAATGAGGACTTCATTTCATGCCCCCAGGTACTTTTGTTTGTGTTTTGAACACTTGCCTCAGAGCTTAGTGCAAAGCCACAGCAAGCAGGGTGATTCCCCCCACCCCCCCACCCCCCCACCCCCGCCTTTCACTTCTGACCCATACATACAGCCTCACAAGGACCAGTAAGCAAGCTCCGGGCTGAGGTGGGGCCGGCAGGGGGGCGCTCACTGGTTCAGGGGATTCCAGCAGAGCCACTTTGGAGGATGTGAACAGATGTGAACAACAATTTCCACATGGGTCTGGAATGTGGGGAATTTATTCTTTTGTGGCTGAGAGTGCTGTCTGGAGAAGGAGTGGCTACTGGGTCTTTGCTATAGATCTTCCACACAGGCCAAATCATCTTTACCACAAAGGCAGACACGTCCTCGGTGAGCAGATGAAGAGCAATACCTGGGAAGATGTGCGTTTTTAGATGAGGACCAAATGATGGCCCAGCCGTACTGTGACACTTGCTTAGTTCAACTATAATAGTTGCCTTCTATCTTCTTGTCTCATCCCAGGACCGTATACCATGCCTGACATGCGCAACAGCACATGATCCAAGTGTCATGGAATGCTTTCCAAGCATCACAAAACCGTACCTTAGAGAACGTTTTCCTGGGAAATTGTATCTCAACAACCCCCCCCCCCTTTGTTCGCTGTCAATGACAATAAATCCTGAAAGTGATTAGTAGAGCTGGAGCCATTAACCAATTATATTGCCTTTAATCCCAGCACTTGGGAGGCAGAGCCAGGCAGATCTCTGTGAGTTCGAGGCCAGCCTGGTCTACAAAGTGAGTTCCAGGAAAGGCACAAAACTACACAGAGAAACCCTGTCTCAGAAAAAAACATATGCATATATATATATATGTTTTTTGCATATATATGCTGCATATATATATGCAGCCTACACAAACATTCACATTTTTGGAGAGAGATCAAAGAGAGCTGGGTGTGCACCTACAGTTTTTCTACAGTGGCTTCGGAAGGCCTTCTCCTCACCCCCAGGCCTGCCGCAGGAGTCGGAGAGAGGTCTACTTCTGAGTGGTGGTCCTCACTGCTTCTCTCTCTACCTCTTTAGGTGGAGGGGCTGCAAAAGTATGATCTGTAGGTCTGTGTTCTGAACTGTTTCTTTTGGGGCGATCCTGCTGCATCTTCTCTTTGACCCTTAACATTATACAACCTCCATTAGAAACTCTTATGGCTAAAAAGAAAAAGAAAAAAAAATGAGTCTTCACTGGAAACCAACTACTTACTCTGATGCCTAACGTTACCTGTTAGGTGGTGAGAGCAGATGGTGCCCACTTGCACAGAACACCCTCCATCAGGAAGGAGCTCCAAGTCCTAGATCCCCTTTGTCTCCTGTACTTCATTGAGAACCCTGAGCCTGCTGTTCAACAGGACCCAGAAACTATTTAGCTATTGGCCAGTCCATTGGGCGGTCCTGAGGCTATCAGTCTAGTGAAGTACACCAGACAAAGGAAATGGATACAGTGTGACAAGTGTTGCTGTCCTGAGGATATCAGTCTAGTGAAGTACACCAGACAAAGGAAATGGATACAGTGTGACAAGTGTTGCGGGACATTAGAGATGCCAGGGAAACACTGTAGATAGAGCTAAAGGGGGCGGGGTGGGGTGGTGGGGTGGGGGGAGAAAGGTCTCCAAAATGCTGTTCCTAGTGTTTTCTTTCTTAAAAAGAAAGAAGAAAGGGGTCATCTCTTTGAAAACTTTAGTCTATGAAGTAAAAGCGAAAATACACAGAAATAAAACAGACATGGAGTAAGATAAAGCAGACAATCGAGACTAGGGTGGGGGACAGGAAGCATCTCAGGCAGGAGATGAGCTCAGAGAACAACCGGAGGAGGGACAGTGACCGGATGATGAGATACAGCGGGAGGCTCAGCAGCACCCACTGGTCCAGGGCACTCCCGTTTGACATTCACCCTGTAATAATACTAAAATAGGCTCTGGGCGAAACCGTGGGCAGGGCATGCTTGGCATCCACCCAGGTGCCATACCCCACCCCCAGGGTTCTGACTGATCTCAGGCCTTGTTCTCAGAGTACCCAGGGTGTCCAGCATCCTCTGCACTGTGACCTCCAGGGTTTCTCCTCCATACACTCCATACACATGCCTGATGATATGCAGCAGGAGTCTGAGTGGAGCACCCCGGGGCCTTTGCTTTAAGAAGAAATGGGACTTGACCCACTAAGTGGATGCTTTGCATTTATTATTTTATTTTATTTCAACACATTCTCTTAAGAACTTTTACGCCAAAGTACCCTTTAGAAAAGAAAAGCTCCATAATGAGATTTTCAGTGTTTCGTCTTTTGTATCCAGATGTGACTTGCTTGGTTTGCTTTTCTTTGAAGTGCCGAGGAGGCCAGTGCAGAGCAGAGCCTGATATTTATTTTTATTGGTTTCACAGCAGGCTAACTTTTCCCAGTCTTTATCACCAGACCCAGAGACCAGAAACAAGGGCAGCGCAGGTCTGCACACTTCAAAATGTGCAGAGCTCTGCAAACCAAGGCTCCTACAGGGATCCACAATAAAGATGAAGAGTGAGCGGCCGGGAGACCCAGGTGGGAAACAACAGCCATGGCACAGCTGGCGTTTTGGCTGGGTTCAATCCCTGTGTATAGTCGGAGTTGCCCCCTTTTGGCATTACTAGGCCCTGCACTCAGTAGCACACCCTGCCTTCCTCACAGTGGATGCTTCTAGACATTGCCAAGTTTCCCACGGGGGAGGGCAGGGCCAGGTGGTTTGCTTAAGAACCCCTGAGCATTCCCAGGCATCACCACTCCTGAGATCTCTGGTGGGCTGCTCCATGGGTGTGCAGGGCCTACTTATCTCCTATCCAGGCCGCTCTGGTTGGTACCGACATCTTCAGTGTAGACAGCAGCCCGAGCTCCACTGCCTGGATAATCTAGTAATTCTCAAGGCTGCTTCTCCCTATTATCAGTGATCCTAAAAACAGTTCCTTTAGGGGTGTTTTGTTATTCTAAAATCTGAAAAAGCAATCAAGGTTGCCAGTCTCCTTTCTTTCTGATAAAATTGTCTCGGCTGCCACCTATCTAGAAATCTGAGATTTTGAAGCTCTGTGCTATTTCCCTTTCAAGGACTGACAACCTAAAACAGTGGGTCTCAGCCTTCCTAATGCTGAGACCCTTTAACACAGTTCCTCATGTGGTGGTGACCCCCAACCACAAAATTATTTTTGTTGCTACTTCATGACTGTAATTTTGCTACTGTTATGAATCATAATGTAAATATCTGTGCTTTCTGATGATTTTAGGCAACCCTGTGAAAGAATAGTTCAACCCCCTTAAGGGTTGTGACCCACAGGTTGAGAAAACTGACCTAGAGGCTATATTTTGGGATCTACATTCATTTACCAGGGTTGGGTAAGTCACTGGTTGTTTTGAGACAGTCTCACTATATTGCTCAGACTGGCTTTGAACTCTCAATTCTCCTAGCTTGACCCTGAGTGACTAGAACTATAAGGCACAAACCATCACACTGAGTTAGGGTTACCAATTGACAGATTCTTTGAGGAAGATTAGGCCTGTCTCTCTCTATTTTCTTTTGAAGGCCTGGGGATCCCTAGAGAGCTGCTGGTCTTCGGTCTGTATTAGAAGTCCAAAGAAGTTGGTTCTAGTATTGACAAAGTATGCTGCAGCAACAGGCTAGAGAACGTGACAGTGAGCATGAGGGCAAGAGCAGGCAAGGAGCACTTTTCTTTTTCCATTGTCCTTTATCTGAGCTCCCACCAGAAGCTGCCGTCCACATTTAGGGTGGGTCTTTCTGCTTCAGATAATCTGATCAAGAGTCAATAGTTCTTAAAAGCCTCAGAAACAAGTGGATTTAGGAATGAGCTCATCATTTATAATATCCCTCACAAGAGCACCTAGAGGCTTGCGTTTCGTTGATTCCAGGTGGAGTCAAGTTGACAATTAGGGGAGGGCACTCAATCCTCAGCATGCTCCTGAGCCTCTACCACCCACAGGACAGTCCCCTTGGAGGGGACAGTAAGCAGCAGAACTGTGACTTTCCACAAGCCCAAAAGACTGTCCTGTTAGCCATCTTCCCTTTGAATAAAGTCATCATGAAGTCCCGGGTCCCATACCCAGCTCTGCATAAAACTGGGTGTGGAAGTATCCACACCTGTAATCCCAGCACTATGAAGGTAGAGGTAGGCGGAGGGGAAGTTTAAGGTCACTTCAGTTACCTAGCAAGTGTGAGGTTGGCTGAGGTTATGTGAAGGCCCCTGAGAGAGAGAGAGACAAAGAAGGAAAGAAAACTATGAGAGGGGGATGGGTTGGGAAAGAGGAGGGAAGAGAGGAGCCAGCACTTCACCCCTGCTGCTTTCCAGTGGGCATCTATTTCCTGGTGTCTTGCTGGCTTGCCTCATGTGCCTGTGTGGCGTTCTATGCATCTGCCCCTCTGAACAATCTGGAGTTTGTCCCAACGTAAGGATTCAAACTCTAAACCACTGTGACCATAGGCCTGTAACAACAAATACACAGCAAAATTAAATAAAAATTGCATTTTGAGGGATAAAATTTGGCAATCTGTATTAAAAGCTTTAGAGATATGTGTATTTTATGGCCTAATAATTCCATTTTAAGAGTCAACACTTCTTTTAAAAAGCCTCAGAAATAAGTGGAACCGGGAATAAGCATTTATAATATTAGTATGTATACAATGCAAACATAGCCAATAAAATAGAACCACTAGAAGTCATACCTATATTCACATAAGCAGTTCTAAGAACATTTTCTAAAAACAACTGATGAAAATGTCCGTTGTAACCCAGGCAGTGACACAATCATGTTGCAAAATAGGATAAACTCTACAGTCACAATTCTATAAAGTATATTACAATGTACACGAAAAGTAAACAGAAATAAAACATACCCGAAGGTTAGTAGAGTTGACTGCTGAGTAGCACCGCTGTGGGTAATTTTACTAACTTGTATTTTCCACGTCTTTGTGGTGACTTTGTGATAAAGTTTTAATTCTTTAACTAGCAAATTACAAAAAAAAAAAAATGCGTAAGACATTTTAAAGTTGTTTTTTAAGCCTGTGTGTCCCATCCTAACTTTTTTACAAACTCCTTAAAGGACAGGTTGCATCTTGGGCTTCTTCTTCCCTCTTTCTATGTGCTCTCTAGTAACAAGTGTTCTATGGTGTAACTGATAATCAGTTCCCTCTCTCTCTGAACCTATCCTATCTTCTACCAACTGCCATAGAAAAACCCTCGCTGCGCCTCAAAAACAGTGTAAGTTCTTGTTGTCAGTCCTACCCGTTAGATTTAACGTTAACTGCTTCATCACAGTTTGGGACTGGTCGCTTTTCATCCGGCCTGGGCTGGGCTGGGCTGTGCGTTCAGAGTTCGCTACTCCAGGCCGGGACCACCCACAACCTGGCAACTAAGGCAGGCAGGTGGAGCCCAATCGGATCAAGCCTGGGGTGCTTCTCATTACCGTGCTTATAAGGAATCCACCAAACACCCCTTTCCCGGGCCGATCGATCGCTGTGGGGAAGGCAAAACCATGAGCCCAGGCAATGGCCCAGAGCTTCCTTTGGAAGCGCACCAGGTGGGGGCGTGGCGGGGGAGGGTCCTGATAGGCGGGGCGCTGGGGGCG